ATCTGAAATAGCAGATCTCTTGTGTCTTTGAGACCTTCTTAATGCTGCTTCTTGTGGTTCATCTACTGTAGGTTCATTAACTGCAATTTCATTGTTAGTAGTAGGATCATTTATTTGTTGTTCTTGCTAATTGTTAGGTTGTACAACAACTTCAGGAACAACAAGTTTAGAAGAAGTGTAGAGTAAAGGAACTTGCATCTTGATTTCTTTAATTTCCACATCACGTGGTTCCTCACTCCCACTATTTTCACCATTCTCAATGAACCTAGCATTTCCAGTTTCAACTATTCTCGTACTATGATTTGGACAGTAAAATCTATACCCTTTTGATTTTTCTGGATAACCAATGAAGAAACCACTGATTGTTCTTGAATCCAGTTTCTTTTCATGTGGATTATAAATTCTTATTTCTGCCGGGCAACCCCAAATATGCAGGTGCCTCAAACTAGGTTTCCTACCAGTCCAAAGTTCAAAAGGAGTCTTTGGGACTGCTTTACTAGGAACCCTATTTAGCAAGTATACGGTAATCCTTAATACATATATCCACAATGAGATGGGTAAAGATGAATTACTCAACATACTCCTAACCATGTCCATTAATGTACGATTACGCCTTTCTGCCACACCATCTTGTTGTGGAGTGCCAGGCATTGTGTATTGAGCACATATGCCACGTTTTTCAAGGAATTTAGCAAATGGACCAGGGTGTTGTCCAGTTTCATCATATCTTCCATAATACTCACCACCTCTGTCTGACCTGATTATTTTCACCTTTCTATCTAGTTGTCTTTCAACCTCATTAATAAATACCTCTAAGGCATTCACTGCTTGAGATTTTTCATGCAACAAATAGACATATCCATAACGTGAAAAGTCATCAATAAAGGTGATAAAATATCTTTCCTTACTGAAAGAAGTGATATCAAAAGGACCACATATATCGGTGTGTATAATTTCAAGAAGTTGAGTGCTTCTTGTGGCTCCTTTCTTTGTGTGTTTTGTTTGTTTTCCTTTAATACAATCCACACAAATATTAAGGTCCCTAAAATCCAAATGTAGAAGGATTTCATTCTTAACTAGCCTTTCCAGTCTTTCTTTGGATATGTGACCTAAATGTTTATGCCACAAGTAAGCTGAACATTCATTCACCAAACTATGTTTGGTTCCAACATTATGATGCAGAGTTAGGAGGGTTTCGGCAAACAGATTATCAAGGTTCAATTTGTATAGATTATCACAAATAATACCAGAACCAATAAGATGATTATGCTTAAACAAACTGAAACATCCATTGCCAAAATTTAAAAAATATCCAGCTTTATCCAATTTAGACAAGGAAATTAAATTTCTTGAAAGAGAAGGTACATAAAAAGTTTCAAATAAGTCTAAGTGATGCCATTATCTAGGATTAAACGATAAGTGTCGACAGCTTCAACTGGAGCCTTCACTGTATTCCCTATGTACACAAATCTTTCATTCCGATTTATGGTCTGGGTTGTAAGGAATCCCTGCATCGTATGAGAAACATGAACAGTAGAGCCAGAGTCAATCCACCAAGTATTATAAGGAACTTCAGTTAAATTTGATTCGAGACACGTAAAAGCACAAGGCTTACCTTTCTTCTCGAACCATGCCTCACGTTTCAGGCAATCTTTCTGAAAATGTCCAGGTTTTTTGCAGAAACGACACTTATCATTCTTGTGTTCCTTCTTACGTACTTGAGATGAGGACTCGTTAACATTATGTTGCCTCTGTTTATTTTTCCATGTTTCTTTCCTTTCTTTCCAGCTCTTTGATGGCCTACGAGGTTAGTGGAGTGGGTTCCTTGATTCTTCGGCCTTGTTTCCTCTTGAACCAGCATTCCGTGCAGTTCATGCACGTTCCATTTGTCTTTCATGGTGTTGTAGTTCATTTGGAAAGGGTCATACTCAGATGGTAATGAGTTAATAATGAATTGAACAAGGAAATTCTCATCCACTTCCATTCCCAATGTCTTAAGTCTTGATGTTATATTTGTCATTTCAATGACATGATCATGCATGGTACGCGAACTATAAAATTTCATGGTGGTTAAAGTACCCATTAGTGTCCCAACAGGAGACTTATAAGCAGTTTGGGAGCATTCTTCCACAAGTTTCAGAAGTTCTTTCGCGCTTTCAGTTTTGGGAAGAGTAGTCTTAATGTTGCCCGCAATATTCATTCGTATAAACATTAGGCTTAATCTGTTAGACCTGTCCCACTGCTTAAAATAGGACCTTTCTTCAGTACTACTAGTTTCAGTAATAGTTGTTGGCCTCTCAGTATAAAGTGCAACATCAAGATCTAAAACTCCAAGATGAAATTTGATCTGTTCGCACCAATCTGAGAAGTTGAGTCCATTAAAGGTCGTAACAGAAGCAGAGTGCTAATGAAGAGCAAGTGGTGCAAATAAAAGATTCATAAGTAGTTGTTAATGGAGTTGAGGTTACCAAATTCTGAGGTGTCGGTATCAATTTATGCCGAATTGCTCCACATATAGTCCCCCGAACTACATTTTCTAAACGAACCAGAGCCAACTCGAATTGATCTTGTAAAAGATCTGCTACAGAACGAATACGTTTATTTTTCAAATGATTCATATCGTCAAGTGCACCCATTCCAAATTTCAGCCCAATCAAATGATCGGCGGCTGCCAATATATCTCGTGGTAACAAAAATATATTGACTTGGAAGACAAAGAAGTATGATAAAGATGAGACCGTATAAAATGAATATTCATCAAATTTACTATTTTCCGATTTGTTCTTTCGTCGATGGGGCCTTAAAACAAAATGAAAAATCGGAAAAATGATTCATTCCCCTTTCTAAGAGGAGTAGGATCTTTGGTTGATCTGCCCTTTCCCCTCCTTTCTTCGTAGATTATTAGCCCCGGGACACCTATACTAAAAGCTCAGTGTGCAATTTGCATGAAATCTATTTTTCAACTTGCCCATTCATTAATGATTTGAGTTAAAAATTAAATATATTGTTAAATTCAGAATGATTTATGTTTTACTCTAAAATGTATATTGATGTCCACCTTTAGGCGAAACACAAAATACAACTTTTAACATAATGATGCTTAAATAAATTTTATATAATTCGATAATTTTAATGTACAAGTTAGTAGTATTTACTATCTTTGGATAAATAAATAAAACTAATGATACATTTAAATTATCGACTTAATGTTTAATAATTATAAGAACAAACGATCAACCTTTGGGCGATCCATAAATGTTTTATAATCGAGAACTCAATTTACCCAATATTTTATAATGTCGTTGATAAGCATCACAATTTGTGGGTAATTGAGTATAGATTCAATCATCATTTGGAATTAAGTATTCATAAGGATTTGACCATTTTGGTGATTGACGAATCATACTTATATAATTTCAAATATTGTGAAAATAATATTTTTCTAAAGTTACTTCGGAAATTATCTAACAGAATCGGCCAGAAACAAGAGTTATTCTACTGTACCAATTCAAAGTAGAAATAATATTACAGCAAAGAACTAAAATTCCAACGAGAGTAATACTTTACCAGGCCTCTGCCTAACAACGTTCTAGGAGGCATTATTGTTGTAAAATTACTATAACTGAAATACTTATTTTCAATAGTTTCATAATTCCAATGATTGCACACATATATACTGTTTGTGTTCCTCAATATCAAATACAAACTTTCTCCACAAAGAGATAGCGCAAAAATCAAACGGGATCTAAGACATTATTTGTGCCTCTATTCATTAGTAGTCTTGAGGTGTTACTATTATTCAATTATGACACCATTCTTGTTTCATCAAACTTTTAACTGGCTATAACCAAATTCACGTACTCGAATTTACAACTTATAGAGATGATCCCGAATCCATTAGAAGTCACAGCAACTATTAGTTTATAAATTGGGGTTCACCAGAAAAGAAGAAATCTTTAATCTTAATGGAAAATCATCAATTCCTCAACCGTGCTCACGATAACACATGTAAGGATTTTCACAACTCTAAATTGTGATTCATAAACAATCTATATAAAATCCTATCAATTATTCAGAACCGTAGAACTATATGATTTTCACATAAAATACATATACAATAACTTCAATCAAGAAAACTTACCTGAATCCATGATATGTTTTCTTGATAATATATTGAGCGGAAGTCTTCTTCAGAGTTGCTAATCTTGAGAAAATCGGTACTTCTCTCTCTTTACCTTTTCTGTGTTCGTTTCAGAATAGAATATGATGGAGTTAAACTATTCTTCCTTTAATAGGCAGAGAGAGGGACCATCGGTTAATTCCCACTTTCCATCAAAGTGGGTTAGTGGGGAGTTATAACCATAATTAACTTTCCCTAATTTTATCCAAATATTAATTTAACAAAATATATTTTATTAAACCAAAATACTCACGTGAACCATATTTTACACTGATTTCATAGGGCTCAGATTTACTTGGTGTAATTGTAGGGGCAATGAGAACATGATATGAAAGAGATTTAACAATGTTGACAAGAGCGACGACGAATCCAGAATTTCCAAAAATATGTGCACTATTATAAAAAGGTGGATCCAGAATAATTAGAAAGGTTCAACATTTAGGTTCAAAATTGAACCCATTACGCTTTCAATATTTTAGGTTCAAATGAATTTTTTGTTTAAACAATAACTTTTTTTCATAATAGTAATCCAAGACTTGATGGGTTTGATATATAGTTCTTTTTATCAAAACTGATGGGAGATTATCAAGGGAGATGATATCACTGAGTTGGTGCAGATCTAGTTTCTTCAATCAGGGGCAGATACACTTTGGGGCAAGCGTCACGTGACGACATATATATATATATATATATATATATATATATATATATATATATATATGCCTATTTAAGCACTGAGATTGCGACGTGCTTCTCGCACCCCGTCCCATCCTCACCTGTTTTACTTTACCTAAGTGTAAAATTAACTAAAGTTGAGGAAATGAACACAAATTTGTTAGTGTGGCCGCAGCTCCTCCCATGCAAGAGCTCTAATTTGGGCCGTCGATCATCATCTCCATCTCCATTGAATTCATCGGTATCTGCGGTTGCAGCTTTCTACAAGATATCAAACTCACAGCTGAGCCTATCTGATAATTATGATCGACATTGTATCCAAATAATTCATAATCCAGAGCTAATTATCCCTAAACATGTTGCTATAATAATGGATGGGAACAGGAGATGGGCTAAGGCTAGAGGTTTACCTGTGGAAGAGGGTCACAAGTTTCTTACTCCTAATCTCAAAAATATTTGTAACATTTCTTCCAAACTGGGAATACAAGTCCTCACTGCTTTTGCTTTCTCTACTGAAAACTGGACTCGTTCCAAGGTACGCTATACATTATTTGGACTCGAAACTTTAGCTTCATTCCCAATTTGTTGGCTTAATTTGAAATTCGAAATTTACCTACGTATTTTTCTCTCATGTTTGTGATATTATATTACTTAATTTCTTTTTATGTTGAATTATATATTTTCTATTCATGATTCATATCAAGTTAAATTTTGTATATTGAAAGAACTCTAATCTATTCTATTGATTTTTTTCTCTTATGATGATGGCAAGCATGTTCTGACGATATATATGAGTCTTCTTTCTGTTGCCGATCGATATTAGCGATAACCAAAGCTAAACCAAACGCTCCGTACCTTTATAACTTGCCTGTATATTAAATCGTGAAGAGAAAATATATCACTCATTGATTAGCATCACCTCAAGCATACCTCGCGCATAGCTGGACCTTTGTACACCGGGCTCCATGAAACAACCTCTTGCAGAAATGCAGGGCAATGTTGCGTACAATAGACCCTTGTGGTCCGGCTATTTCTCGGACCCCGTGCATAGTTGGAGCTTAGTATGCCGAGCTATTTTTATTTTTATTTTTTGGTTTTCACCATCATGAAGTTGCGATTTTATTTTACATGATTTTGATAAAACGATCTGTTTCCATTGCACAAGCATAACACTTTGATTTTTAGCAGGAGGAGGTTTATTTCTTGATGAATCTGTTCGAAGAGTTCTTTGAAGAATTTATGAGGTAATTTTATTTATGATCCAACTTCATGGCTTTCCTCCTTTTTCTTGCGTACAAATTTTTCGCAATTTTTAAAAGTCTTCCGGAAAGAAAGTTTTCAAATAATATTTTGGTGGTTCATGTTAAGGGTGTAAATGGTTCGGTTGGACCGGTTATTTTATAAAATTTGTACCATATCAATTTTTCGGTTATTTTATTATGTATAACCAAAATTAGACTTTTAGAAACCGTATTAATTATGTCGTTTTCTCTTCGGTATTGCTACAGTTCGGTTAATATTCGGTATTTTTTTAAATGTCATTTAAAAGTTACTAATAGAAGTAGAATGCAATAACATACAAACTTTTGTAGGGTGATAAATTAAGAAAACATGAAAAATAGCGAGAGTATAGATCCATCAAGTGTAAAAGAAACTAAGCAAAGACAAAAAAAAATATAAATCACAGGAGTGTAAAGATATAAATCAAGCTACGACTCAAGAATAAAGTCTGTAGAAGATTAAATATTCAAAAATATAAATTTAAATTACACGGAAGGAAACATATTCAATACATTGTAGTTTGCTACTCATAATCGATAGAATACCTTGGGTATGTTAATATATGATTGAAATAGTTTAGTTTCAATAGGCGTAGTATAATAGGTTTGGAATTAGGATTTTGAGTTTAGTTACTTGTTGCCTTGTAACCGTTATCATAATTCCAAGGCCCAAGGAAAAATTTAATGTTTTACTATTTTTAAAATTAATATATAATATATTTTTTCCATGTAAATTTATTCGGTACGGTTCGGATTTTTTTCGATTTACCCTAATTATCGGTACGGTTGTAAATTTATTTAAAAACCTACTATTTTTTAATAATAGAAACCTAAAAATCGATTATGTTCAGTACAATTCGATCGATTTAGTCAGTTTTTAAATATTCATTGACACCCTAGTTCATGTATATTCCCAGTATTTACCTTAACGATACAATAAAACAAACATGAGTGTGAGAAACGCATGAAGACCCACGAGACAAAGAAAGATAATGATAATATATGGACTAAAAAATCTCTAAAAAGAAATAGTTCTACCATCAATAAATCAACAAAATTTAGGACAACCTATTGGGAAAAAAAACTCAAACACTATATTGACAATAAAATGGATGATTCTATGCATCGGTTAAAATTTACAAACAATTAATTGCATTAGCGAAAAAGTTGAAAACGGAAATACACTAAAAAAATATTACTCCCTTTATGCGACATATTTTTTCTTTTTAGTTTATCTCAAAAATGTGAACAGTCTATATTTATTTTTTTAAAAAAAATTTAACTTTAAAATATTTATTTTACTCGAAATGGGATTAATTTATTGTCGCACAAATGTCTATGGTTTATTTTAGACCATAAATCTCAAAGTATATCTTCCTCCTTATATTTTATACTCGCATAAACTCCGACGTATACACGGAATAGAGGAAATACTGCTTTTTAGTTTTTTCATTACTTTATTTAACAGGTTTGGAGTACGAGTGTTTGGAAATAGACCTAGACTTCCCATAACTCTACAGAAAGGCATAGAGTTAATCGAGAAGGCCACCAAAGCCAACGAAGGACTTCATCTTATGTTGGCACTGAACTATGGAGGACACTATGACATATTAGAAGCAACCAAGAGCATTGCCAGTAAAGTAAAGGATGGTCTTCTACAGTTGGAGGATATCGACTATAAATTATTCGAACAAGAACTTGCTACCAAGTATGCCAAGTTTGCTAAACCTGATTTACTCATAAGAACTGGTGGAGAACAGAGAATCAGTAATTTCTTATTGTGGCAGATTGCTTATTCTGAATTATACTTCACAAAGACATTATTTCCTGACTTTGGAGAAGAAGAACTAAAGGAAGCCATACGTTCTTTTCAACAAAGACACAGACGTTTTGGTGGACACACATATTGAAACATTACTTTCCCTCGTATCTCCTCTCATCTTATTCATATGTTTGGTAAAGAAATTTTTGAAGAGCTGCATAAAGAAATCAAAACACTCATGCTTCAATTCATTTATTTGGCTGATAAACTTATTAAGGACGCAGGCCATTGACAATAGCGACAGTTTAACACCTTCTTTAGAGTAACACAATAATTTAACACAATTTTTTTTTTGTATGACAAACAATAGTGTGTCGAAGCAGGATGCTTTTTCTCTACTTCGAAATTTCATTGACGTGTGAACAGCTTTCACCTGCTAATGTATTTGTGCTGTGGGGGAACTAAGAGGTCTCTTCAAGCGACACAAACTTCAAATATACTGAAAGCTAGCTAGTTAGATTTTGAAGCTACTCGACAAGCAAAAGATTTGAACGTACATGGAAATTTAAGAGAGCTTTTGAGGTGAAACAAAAATCAAAGAATCATTGTAAAGTATATATGGCTTCACAGTGTTACTTTTGCTTTGTGCAGTCACAAAGTTCGAGAAGTTTAGACATCATTTGTATGCTCTATACCTGTAGAAGAAGGGAAAACTCGTTCCTCTTTGAAGGAGAGGAAAAGGGAGAATTCTATCGAAGAGACCAATGGAGTCCATGTGCCAAGCAATGAACACTAAGCAGGTTGCAGGAATTCTTCTAAAGCACGTCGGAAGAACCATGTTTGTAGGTAATCTGCCCCGAAAAAATTGGGAGTTCATCTGCACGAGAGATGTTCCAAAATCAACATGCTGCCGCTGTAAATTTAGCTCTTGTTGAAAAGATTAATCCACGGAGTGGGCTAGACATCAATGGCATAGAGGGAAATGAACAAGAATACGAAGGCAAGATATGTACATCAAATCCTAATCATCAGGATCCATTTCCTCATCCTGTTCCAGGGATGGAATTGCATCAGTTCCATTGTATCCTTCAGATTCAGACTGCCCATCTAAATCAGTTTCATCTTCTTGAGAGTCAACTTCATCCGCGTTAGTCTCTTGAGTTCTTTCTTGTTGCATCGATCTGGGGCACTCGCCCTGCCCTTCAAACAACAGATGGAGATTGCTGTTCTTTCCTGAATGCGAAATATCAGTAGCCTTGACAGTTGAACATGAGCATTCTGGAATAGGGTGCGAGAGGAAAAACTTAGTCTTTGATCGATTGGATTCCTGCAAAAGGCCCTCTTCTGCCAGGCTTTTATTGAGGTGTTCTCTGACAGCAAGAGTCCAATTACGAGGTGGATAGTAAAGATGATCGACAGTGCTATTAAAGAGCTCTGCAAGATATTTCCTGCATGTACAAGCTAGATTTTAGAAACTAATGGTAAAAAAAATGGATGAGCACCCAAACAAGGAAAGGACCATTACTGTCGTTGGTCTACCTGTTTGGCCGGAATGTTCTCGCAGATGCCATCTCATAAAGTCGGTGTCCCATCACCAAGCTGGCAAAATCAGGCCCGCTACCATCATTGTCAAAACCAGGAAAAAAAGCTTCAGCTTCCACTGAGACTATGTAATCAAGAGCATCCCATAGCAATCGGTGTGCTCGCTCCCTCTGATCATTGGGAGAAGGTTCTGGTTCCACATCTTTCTCTGCAACCCATCCATACCAGCCTTCTTTTTCATGTCGATAAATAGGCCGATCAGGAGGAGGTGGTAGAGGTCTTGGTCGGGGCCCGGCCTTGTCCCATTCTGCTTTTAGTTGATTTGCGCTTTTTGCGGGTAAAAGCTGATCAGGATCAGGCGGAAGGGGAGTTTCTGGGCCAACTAAATTGGCTAGCTCTTTTTTGCTGCACAACGCAGTACGGTCAACTAAATTGGGGTACATGGCTCGTAAAGGAATCATAACTCGTTGTCCGCCAAAGGTTTCAGAACCTGCTAGATAAATTCTTGTTCTAGGTGGGTAACCCATGGCTCGAAGCAGAAGTCCTACCTAAATTTTGCAAAAAAATGTACAAAGCACTAAGAAATAAAACAAGGACAACCATGCATATTCACAGTTATATTCGGTCTGTAATTACAGAATACGAGGATTAAACAGTTGGTAACTTTGACATAAACACCACATTTACTTCGGCAGAACTTCATCTCAGATATCCCTTATTTTCCTTACTTTTTTAGTAACAGTTTAAATTCACGCAACGACTTCCTCTTTAAACATTTTATTTATGAGAACTTTCTCTTTAAAGGATTTCAGGAGAAGAAAGCAATAAACATCAGGTCAGTGAGTGAGATAATCTCTTGACAAAAGTGTTCTTTACTAACCTACAGAGTACAGACCAGCTTTTCTTTATCTCGCTTTTCTTTTCTTCTAAGGAGAGCAGTTTTGCTATGATGCTCTTAAAGCCTCACCAAATCCACCCACGCCTCTTATCCCCATGGTCCCTTACCCTACACTGCAACACCCAATCAATCTCTTTTTCTCTAATTTGAAGGTAAAATATGTATACTGTTAGTAGATACAACAAATTTGCTTCAAAGAATCATCTTAATACACGTACCTTCCTATCATTCCCATATATAAGAAGAAGAAGCAACTCGGTACAGCATAAATTTGCATCAATTCCGTAAAACAAAGAACTTGGGCTTATAACGAGGAACATTAACATCAACCTTCCCAAGGTCAATGAGCAATAAAGGGGGGAGAGGGTTTGAATTATCAACAGTTCTTGAGTGAAAATATCTTCAGGAACAGGCTATTGACGACTCAGATATATCTTTTAAAGCAATCTTTATTTGTTCCATGATATAGAAATAGAAAATAGCTACCAGGTAATGTCCTACCATGTTGAAACTATATCTCATTGGCTAAGCTAACTCATACGAAAAGAAAAATTAAATAAGTTAAAAACCGAACAGTATGCCCTTCTGTTTAAAGAAGAACTAATTAGCATTTAAAAACGGAGATGCTAATAGGTATAGAATCAAATAGATGTGTGATAAAGTGTACAAATCCCTAATGATATTCTTTATTACGTATTACTCTTGATGTTATTTTGCTACTTTTGCATACTTCATCGCCCATGGGTTGGTGTATCCACTATATTTGCTTACTCCTTGTGGCTGGAAAGTTGTCTTTTACAACACGTCATTATAAACTATATTGATCTTTAAAGTGCATTAATCTCTCATCTCTATATCTCTTCGTACAAGCTAACAAAGAACCCACAACTTGTTCCCAGTTGTGAGAAAAGAGTCCAGGAGCATAAAGTAAACTTTGGAACATGCAGACAGTCTATATTTAGAGAAGTCCGAATGGAGAATTAAACTATCAGAGATGGTAACAAAGTGCACCTCATGGATGCTATCAAAAAAGTCTCTGCTTCAAACGATTACTCTAGAAGCAACATATTGTATACAAGCTCCTTACAATTATGTATTTCCACCCAGATGAATAAACTGTTTTTAGAGATTTGAAGAGAAAATCCGAAAGTACCTCTTCTGGCATGAGTGGGCACGATCCATTTCTCTTCCGAGCATGTGAATCAACACTAAGTTCTTCACTGATTATTCCTTGTTTAATCAACTGGGCCCTCCTGTATTGTATAAGTTCTGTGTGAATATCCTACACCAATAGAAAGCAATAGGTTACAGATCTCGCAACATCAGTTATTCTTTTAATGAGGAAAAGGCATCATAAGGTCCATTACAACAGATATTTAGAGGCTCAGCAGATTAAGTGCAGCAATACCCTCCCTTGCTTTACTGCTAATACTGCCTCTTTCTCTGCCCTCCTCTTTTTGTTCTTTTTCCTTTTTCTCTTTTCTAGTGCACTCACTTCACAGCTCGGAATTACAATTTACAGTCACAATCACACAGTTTCCTTTCGTTTTCATTTTTCTCAGACAATTCAAATGAATGACAATTAGCCATAACTATATTTGGAAAGACAAGTCGAGCAATGAAAGATTATCCATCTATTGCATGTGAGGTCACAAGAATTAGAAGCATCAGACAATAGAATAGAAAGAGTAACTGGGAACTTTTCACCTTATTAACTGACAGTTTGATTTGCGGAAGAAAAGGATGGTTAAAGGAGGGGCATGGGTAACTTCTTAGTATCGCTACGAAGCAAAGAGGAGTGGAAGTAAAAGTTGAAGATTGCATGTGGCATCCTGATTTAGACAGCTTTTGTCAACACCTTCAGAATTGGAGGAAAAGGAAGACGTAGATCTCATGCACTCTCCCTTGTCATACCAAAAAGGATGCGGCAATGATAATCCTTCTGTTTAAGTAAACTTAACAGGTCTTCTTCCCCCTTTCCCAAAACCCTTCCCACTGGTTCAATCAAAAGTTTTTTAGGTCTTGGTTGAACTAAACATATTATGCAGAGCAATAAGAATATGCTGCTGATTCTAATCCCAGATCCTCATCAATTAGAGTGTTCTTGGCATCTCAACTATTCTAGAATCCTTAGAACCATCAGATCCTCATGCAAAATTCTTGCATTTGCCAAGATTGAAAGCTGCTACATAAGCAAATTCAAGAATACAAGCTAGAGTTGATACTAGCTACAATGATAAGAGAAAGCACATGATACTTATAGTAGTTCTATTTGCATATGTGAGCCAAATAACCTAGCTTTGACAGGTATCATCCCCTGTTCTCATCAGTGATACCCCAACCACAAAATTTGAAAACCAATATGGCTATGGTTATAGTACTAAATTTCCAGAACAAGTCACCAGAATTTATCAAAACTAATCCATGTTCCAACAGGGATGTCCAGAACATCGACTACTGGTTAGACAAATCCAAGTTCCTACAACACCGATCAGATTAAGAAAATTAAAGAAAAGTAACCTGAAAAATTTCAGCACAACCATGATAGGCTAGGGCATCTCTCTTAAGCCCAGGATGATAGGCAAGGTAAGGTTGGCCTGAAGCTTGTAACCTGCAGAAAGAGGAATAAAAAATTTTACCATCTTTCTACAAGAGATTTAAAAACTCTCCCTTCGCCACTTGAAAAAAAAAAAGCAGCAAGAAGTTGA